AAACGCAAAATTGCGCGTAGATGACGTCACGCATGACTGAGCGCTTTGAAAAGCTTACCATGACTATTCCAGACAAAGCCAAATGTTCGCTGACAACGACTTTTGCGTAACTCGTGGCATTTTTTGAGATATCGTGCGAACAGAAAATGGGAGAAAGAAAGAAGAATAAGAAAAAAAAGAAGATGATGATGATGATCCTGACAATAACAAGAGGTGATCCGCTAGTGTAGCGGATCACCAACAAGATAGAAATGAAATCTTAAAAGCATTAAAAGATACATTAAGACCGGTGGGAGCAATAGTGCCTAATTTAAAAATCAATTTTTGCTCCAAGTTTTTTCTAATAGTGTCGGATCCTTGACAGAGAGAAACACCAGTGATCTTGATATCTTCTTTACTGTGGTTATGACTAAAATGCGATGCAATGGGTAAACCAGCTTGCCGGAGACAGATGGATCTAAGATGTTCAGTAAAACGATCTGCCATTCTCCTTTTGGTTTCGCCGATGTATACAAGATTACATTTAATACAGATAATAGTGTATATGAGATTGATGGAAGTGCATGAGAAAGTGTCCTTGATAGCATGAGTGCCGGATGGTCCTTTAAGAATATTGGTGGAGTAGATGTGTGCGCAAGTATTACAACGAGGCCTATGGCATGAAACAGTGGATCCTGAACAATCATCAGTAGACCTGAGGAATGAGCTGACGAGACTATTTCTCAAACTCCTATCTTTTCTATATGAACGAAGTGGAGGAGATTGGAAGATCGCACTTGTGGTTTCATCTGATAAAAGTATATCAAAATTATTCTTTAAAATGGTGAAGATTTTGGTAGTCGTAGGATGGTAAGTCAGGATGATGGGTATTCGATCAGCGTCAACATGCGTACAGTGTTGTAGAGCTTCATCTTGAGTCATGTGCGCAATACGTTTTAAAGAATTATCAGTTATGTGAGTAGGATATCCTCTATCCTTGAAAAATGAGATCATTTCAGTAGCTCGTCTTTGAAAATCATCATGATCAGTACATATGCGTTTAAGACGAAGGAGCTGAGAGTAAGGAATAGCATCCTTACACGATGGTGGATGAGAGGATTTATAATTCAGGAACGTATGTGCATCGGTAGATTTGTAGAACACCCTGGTCGAGAGGCGATTATCAGAAATAGAGAGTACAATGTCGAGAAAAGTAACATGTGTGGACGAGATTGCATAGGTAAACTTGATGGCTGGATGAAAGTTCGAAACATAATCAATAAAATCATTTAGTTCATCAAGTGAGCACGAGGTAGCGCCAACAACATCGTCGATATACCTTTTAAAAAGATGAGGTGTAGCTCCAGAGTATCGAGCGAATATCTGTTCTTCTAAATAGCCCATGAACAAGCAAGCAAAACTAGGCCCCATGCGAGTTCCCATACCAACGCCAGAGATTTGTCGGTAATAGTTGCCATTAAATGAAAAAGATGCAGTCTTAAGAACTAACTCGGCAAGTCGGATGAGGCAAGATGTAGAACAGTTAGATGGATTATCTTTCTCTAAGAAATGTTTAAGAGCATTCAAACTGTCGTCAATAGGTATAGATGTGTATAAAGAGCGAACGTCCATAGTAAATACATGCTTGTGATCACCAGTGAAATAAAATTGGTTGAAAATACGGATGGCTTCACTGCTGTCCTTGATATACGTAGGCAATGTTTGAACAATCGGCGTGAATATAGAGTCCGGAAATTGACTGATAACAACAGTAGGCCAATTGCAGGTAGAAACAATAGGGCGACCAGGTGAATTCTCCTTGTGAATCTTGGGCAACATGTAGAATTTGGAGCAAGTAGGAGCCTTGTTGACGAGAACCTTAGCGCTAGACGATAGATCATTATCCTTGATCATATTGTGAATAGTATTAGTAACCAGGTTAAGTTCATCCGACGTAGGATCATCAGGTAGTGGCAAATAAGTGTCACGATCAGAGAGTTGACGCTGTCCTTCTAGGATGTACAAATCACGGCGCCAGACAACAGTAGCACCTCCTTTATCTGCCAGTCTTAATGTATCTTTTAATGCTTTTAAGATTTAATTTCTATCTTGTTTGGATTTGGATTTTGGACCATGTGTTTGATTATTGTTGCTTTTATTGATCAGCTCTTTTTATTTATATAGTGTTTATATATATATTTTTTTTCGTTTTCATTTTTATATTCATATAGGCCTTTTTTTATGCTGTACACCTGATGAAGGCCTATGGCCGAAAACATTTGTGAATTTTCTGTATTAAATTTGGCAAATATATACCTTGTTCCTGAGTTTTATTTGATATATATCTACACTTTGCCAAGCAGCTACTCCTGATTTTCCTA